TACCTGAAACAGGAAAAATCAAGAAGAATCAACCACCGGAAACAATTTCTCGAAGGCTATCGCGACCTTCCTCCCTCCAGCGACCTAACACGACCCTCCTTGCGGGAACTCAACGCACGAAATGTCCTGAGTCCATTTCACGGCGCCTGGAGAGGACTTGATCAGACAGGACTGTCAGTGCGGTAGTGGCTTGTAGCACCTTAGGGTCTAGGAGCAGCGTAGACGTCGACGTCTCTATGAGAGAGAGCAGGCGACTGAGCCACTCTGTTGTCTCTGCTCTCCGCCTATACTTTACAGATATCCAGCAGCCGCTCTGCTTACAAGTGCACCCGATTACGCCGACACACCGCCTCCCGCTGCAGTGATATGGACTGCCTCGAAGGGACCAAAATTAGGATTGACCTTGGTCCAAGGGACAGCGAATGGTGCATACATTTATACTCCTCAATAGTTTATTACAATAGTAAAGAGGTCCCGAAAAATTTTTGCGGAAAATGTATATAATACACATACCTGAGCACTATTTCGTATGTGCCATTAGGTTTTAGAGATTTTGCCGTAATAGATATAGGCTCGGTCATCATACTGTCCGGTTTGTCGACATGAAGCATTGTTCAACGCTAGAAATGGAATAAGTGATGGCAATGGATGGGTTACGAGTCCGAGTGCACTTCGCGCCGACTCCTTATCAACAATTCAACATGAACCCTCCATATATGTGTCCTTTGCACGTAAAACAAACGTTCAAAAAGAACGAAAAGCATGGAAAGTACTGACGCAATCTGTTCTTCAGGACATAAGTCGATAAGGAAGGACGATCACATAGCGAGAACTCTAGAAACCGTGTGTAAATAATGAAAGAACTTCGCATGACTAGTAATAAAGTTAGCGTTAAGATATCTATGCCTATGTTGCAAAGCGTTAGTTTCCAGTATCTTTGGAGTGTCATAATTAGCGCTGGACTTTGAAGAGAAAAGGGTGAAAGAGAACTGATATGGAAAAGCAATCAATGGGCATTAGATACGCGCGAACGGTATGTGTCCGGAATTGAGACTACAGAACATGAAAAAGCCTAACTCGATTACTGGAACATAACAGCAGTCCGCGTAAAAATGACTGTTCCATTCGGGCTGAAATCACAGCACTGTGATATGTGAAATGACAGTGTCAATTAGACCCCGTCTCCAGTTTCCTCATCCGATTTGATGCTCATTGTCTCCCCCTTTTCACATCCTATGTATCTTTCTAAACTCCCTCTCATTATCCCCGAGCTTTCAGAATCCCAGTTTCCCCTAAAGAAAAAATACCGTCGAGGACAAGGAGCTCCTCGCCAGTATAATCTTTGAGTCCAATTATCGAAATTAGTAATTGCAAAGTAGTTCTGCGGAACCGTCAACTAAGGCGGGGAGCTCAGTACACTGCCGTGTAACCCGGGCATACCATCGCTGGGGACTCCCCAATAGGGGTGGTAGGGGTCCGTGTTCGACCGCTGAGGTGGGGGGGGGGTCGTAATGAGAGGGCCAGTCACTACTGAACAGCGCAAAGGTGTCACTGTCGCTGGGTAGCAAAACTTGCCTTGTAGAGGATCTGGATGCGTAAAAAACCCTGAAACAAATCAGAATGATCAAGTAGAAGTATTAATAAGTTGCTATGAGTTCGTAGTTACGTAGGTGACTGAACAGTACAAATTATCCTTCGCTTCGGATGGGAGGGGGGGGGGGGAGGCGGCCGCGCGGCTGTTTTTTTGTTTCCCTTCGGCGAGCGACAGGACTGCATCATATCGCTCGCAGCAGTCGTTGCCCACCAGTTGATGTCGCTTGCTCAACTCAACAACTAGTGGAGAAGGGGTTTGGCGACGTGCCAAACGCAGCCGTGCGAACACGCCCCGTCATCTGCAGCGAGCCAGACTGTAAGCAAGTATGTAGGTAGTATGTAGGTAGCCCATAGACCTTTCTGAACCTTATAAACACATCTGCTTGCGTGAACAGACATCACTTAGACGTTGGACCATCCACTACCTCTGCATGGGAGCCTAATGCATGGCGCATCGACAGATAAGCTAATGAGCGCTATACTAACCATTGCCTACTTCTCTTCCACGCGCGGATCCATTCTATATGAACTCTTAAGTTTTCAAATACACCCACCTGAAATGATACACAGAAAACGGGTTTTTGCGTAGCTCGAAGTTTCGCAGTAGATCCCCAACGCATTTATCCCATTCATCCCGGAATCTTAAGAAACAAGATGAAATGTTTCAGAAAAGAGTAAATTTCCCTGTTTTCAAAACTGCTCTTACATTTGCAGGCAGTTGAGTTGGAAGACAATCAACTTTGTTCAATCAGGAAAACTCGCATCTGAATTTGGAAACCCCCAGCAGGTATCCAAGTTTCATTCATTCACAGTTTCTTTGGTTGGATGGTATCAAGTGCTGGGAGGTGCTAAGGAGCTAAGCCGGTCCCAAGTCTGGATGAGGAGGGTTGGTGCGAAGGGCTAGCAACCAGTGTAGTGGAACTTTGCCACGCCGGCTTTCTCCACCAATGATGTCATTTAGAGTCCGCAGCAATAAGCGGGAAAGATTCTCGGCTGCGCTCAACTTCTCGCCGCTTCACATGCCCTATTGTTTGCAAGCCTTATCCTCAAAACAATGTAGAGAGCGTCCGACGTTGTTGGAGGAAGGAAGCACCCTTCACATCCCGGAGATGGGAAGAGCGTGGCTGCGTACCTCACCGGATATGGCTTGAGATGAGTTTTTCGTGAGTTGTTTCGACTTGACAGAACTCTCATCCTGTATCGCAATCGATAAAGAGAAATACAACTGTCTCAAGATGAAAATATCCTACTAGAAGCACAGCCGCCCCACGTTCCGACGAAGCAGGGAATCACACCCTGTCTGTCGTCGGACACGAAGTGGACAAAAGCTATCAGAGCATCGTATAGTACCATTTCGTGGCGGGTAGTGACGGCAGGACTAGGCGGCGTCGCGCGCGACAACCGCGAATACCGTGTGATTAGGACGTCACGTGCACTCGCGACAGCTTTCTTATCGCTACAGTGACATTCCGGTGTTACTTTTTTCGACAGGACAGTCCGCCGTACCTCAACAATACGCAAGCAGCACAGTTTCTGAGAATATACTGTCCAGAAAACATTGTGACAGTAAAATGATTAGAGATTAGCAGGTAAGCTAACTCGTGAGCAGAATCTGCGTAGGTTTCCCTGCACTGTAATTGCTACGTAATCACACTACTTATGTAAATAAAACAAAATCTGATTTAAGACAGTCCAGGTCCTGCTAGAGTGAAGAGCGCGGCTGAAGACTGATTCTAGGGTGTGTGCCAGGACTCACCGCCGCGCCCGAAACTAGGTCGCCGCGCTGGGAAGTGGGTCACCGCGCGCGGCGATTACATGCTTTAACATGTTTGCATGTTTGACATGTCTACCTGTTTGGACATGTTCTTGGCAGATGGAAGATGAGGAAAAGAGAGAACGCTCCAAGCAAACTGCGATAGGGTCATATTGATCGGAAGTTGGCAAAATGCCAGGTCAGGACTCACCGCCGCGCCACGCGAACAGGTCGCCGCGCGCGGTGACCTAGTTTCGAGCGCGGCGGTGACTCCTGGCCGTCTCCCCTGATTCTAATTCAATAACTCAATGGGTTTATCTCGAGTGTGAGCTACATTGCAAGCACGCGGTTTTGCAGTTTGCCGCGCACTCGACATCGCGTGAACCTAAAGACCGCCATGTGGCGTGTCATGATTTGCGTCCAACGGCATAATACTTTTCATAGGAAAGTGAACAGAACTCTGCTACAACAAAAAAAAGAAAACGAAAAGCAAAGTTTCGCTTTTTTCGAACTATTAGGGTGGATGTTCAACATGTCTGTTTTGTAACAAATAAACCTGGAAATTTAGCTCAACTGATTTCCCCTATAGGCATAGTTAACGAATTCACTCGATCGAATGTTAACGGACAAAATACATACAGAACAGATATGGACCAACAAAGCCATCAGATCGAACATTTTGGAACATTGCCCAAATGCAGAAACATTCACAATTACTAGCAGCCCTTCGGAATATGACTGCTAGGAGGCGCAAATTTGATTCTATTGTAACAATGAAAAACAATGATATACATGAAATGTACACATGATATACATTACTTTACAAGCAGTACGTACACGGAATTCGCTGCAGGACACGTACGAAATGAATACAGTATACAAAGGCCGCACGTGCATTTAAAACCAACAACATTTCGATCAGCTTGAAGCCACAGCGGAAAAAAAATGAAAGGAGAAATCAAGCTAAACAACAAGGCTGAACGCATTAACGCTATACATCAATCATTCTATGGCTGTCGCGATAGAAAACAATAAACCTGTAATCAACTAGCAATGACTGAGAAAAACTGTATCTTATCACAGGATAGAGGCAATAGGCGAAAGCACTCATAGAGGCGCGATTTGTTTCTAAATTTATTTCATTTTAATGTTGTCCACTACCACCTGGTACTTCATCGTTTTTCCATTTATGACGTTCATCTTGATACACATCGGGTCTCAATTGATTTCGTATACCTGGAAAGCGTTACTTCTAAAATGAGATGTAAAAATAGCATTTGTCAACATTTAAAGACAAACTGTTCACTCTCCTCCGTTGATCCACGTCCTCACAGAGTGAGTGCGGGGAGAAGGGGTCCGCAGCGGCAGTAGCGTGCCACTGTTTCCGGCGCGCCCACAAATGACGATGGCGCCAGGTAGTATGGCGACAACACTTCAGAACCGGAAATAGTCATGAAGTCTACGACGATGAGGTCTACATGCTGGCGTCCGGTGCTCCAATCGACAGGTTAACACGAGTTAAGAAAACGCCGCGTCCTATCGTCGCGCGCGGCGGAGCGACAAATTACAATTCCCTTGCCCGTCTACCCCAGACAGGCGCCTAGTCAGCCATAGCCAAACGCGCTAATTGTCTGCGCTCTCTCCTTTCTGGTTATTCTCTACCGCTGAGAGCGTGTTTCTCTGGGATTTCGACATCGACCCAAGCACTGAAGATAGCGCGGGCGGACCAAAGAGATGGCACTCGCGTATCACTACCCTGCAACTCCGCTTCCTGCAATTTTGAGCGAGAAACTGACGCGGCACTGCTGCTGCGGACCCCATTCGCCTTGCACATGGCCAGGATCCGTCCTCGAAGGCAAGTGCAAAGTTTGCCTTCAGTTCTGAGCTTGCTAGCCGTAGACACATTGGGCAAGGATATCAAGACAAAGTCAAAAGACGTGTTGTAATAATATAAATAAATTAATTAATAGTGATATTGAAGCTTTCAGAGAAAGAGCGCACCTCCTAGAACTTGGTAACCGATTTGAGTGCCAGCGACAAACGGCCCAATGATGGCTTTCGGTGCCACTTTCAACACACTACGGAATGACGATTGTCCAGAGGCACGGTCCTCCTGTGCAGCAAGTTCCAAATCATCACGAGCTTGTCGATAACCCTAAATAAATCACGTAGGAAACAAAGTGCGGCAATTCAATTTTTTGGAATGCTCAAGGATCACGGAGTGCCATTTGGTGCTTCCACCGAGCCAAAAAGCATCGGAACACTGTTTAGTAGATTGAAGGCAGTTGGTACGATAATTTGTTAGAGCTGCTCAAAATGCTGGCAAGGCACAATGTAGTGGGGAAAATGGCGAAAAAACGGAGTGAAACGGTCAAAACCTGCGAAGAAAAGCCTTCGTTCTTAATGACTTGAAAATCAATTTCGGACGAGTTTCCCGTAGGCATCTTGCCAATAACCGCTACGGTAGATACGGCTGCATGTATGTACTCATATATCCATGCAGCACCGCGGCCGCTTCATACCAATCCCTTCGCTTCATATTTTACTTAGCAAATGAAGCAATACGAGCATCAGGTACGGTCGTCCATTTGTGGGCGGGCGGGCGTGGTGGGCGTTCGGGTCGGTATGTTGTAGCTTGATAGGGCCTTATAAGGGCACCTTCCTTGGAAAAGGCGCTACGCTGCGCGTTCTCAGAGTGCAGAATTCCAACCTACCAATCATATTTCCTTATCGCCTTGGGGATTTATCGTGCCAACTGCCTTCAAAGCCAGTGGGACAGAGATCCGGCGTTCAAGGATGGTGATTTGTGCTCCAATTTCATGGCAAGATGGTATGTAACACAAAATTGAAAAAAGCCCTAAAACCGCCTAAAACGTCCCGTATGTCACAGGATGCTGAAACAAGCGTGTACGTTCATAGTGCGAGGAAAGGGCGAGGTCGGACGAGTTCTCACTTTTCCTGCCAGCTCTTTCTCTTTATCACACTCTCACCATTACGAATGAGAGAGTTAGTAGCGGAACAACCTCAGCACCAGGTAGCAGTCAGAAAAGAAATTTGGGCGGCGCTATGGTCAGAGGGTGGAGCCGTATCACAGCGGGCTGAGCTTTCCTCACATTTTTTTAATCTGCGAAAGTAATACATCCTCCATGCACACAAGGTAAAACTACTATGTTCCAAAGAAGGCGTCTGATCATCAGATGAACGCGGAGCTTGCCTTTAATGAGTAATGCGAAACACCGAAAAATTTAAACTCCTAGAACAGACAAAAAAAAACTATTCAGGGTGATGTATGAGAATAGAATTCATAAAACTCCGAAAATTGGACAGTCTATTATTCCGATAGTTTTCGAGATTGACATATTAGTAAAAAATAGTATCAAAGAACATACATCTGAAGCTATATCATAAGCAAGCTGCAATCCATGGCGGAGATCTGTTGGAGCTGCTGCTCTCGCTGCTTGCAGCTCGACGATTTCGCTCGTTTAAGTACGGAGCAGATGGTTGGACTTCGTGTAAAACTGACTCAGCAAGCATCTTCAATAAGATTACCAAATATTTAAAATATGTAGGGGTTTCTGCGAAAAGAAGATAACAAAAAAGACAGATACTGCACAAAAGATCACCTGTATGACCCCCACAACAGTTTGAGCCATTCCGACAACACCAGCCGCCGATGACAATCCGAACGAGCCAACACCTTTCTGAATTCCTTTCACGACATGCCCGTCTTCTTTACGCAATTCCACAACAGGAAGCCAGAATAGGTCGACCACACCTTTACCTGCACAAATGTAGATTATGGGCTGAGGCCTTAACTTCTAAAAGCTCAATGTCACTAATTACTGGATAATTATTTGCAACTATGAAAAGAACGAACCGATTTGTACGAACGGGCTAATGGGACCACAACTGGCTAAAACATTTGGCAGATTGGACTTGATGTCCGCCATCCACTCGTCTATAGCAACCTGAAAGCAATTCTTGTATCTCCACGAAAGCCAGGACACAGGGAACAGCTTAGAGGGCAAGAGTAAGGGGGACGTTAGGGGGAGGAGGTTAAAGAGAGACACTTCTCTCATGATGCCTGCTATTTACGCCGTTCAGGTTGACAAGGAGACCCAAGCGCTACCATACCTCAGATGGTCCTCTGCGAGCAGAAACAAGCCCGACACCAGTGACCTCATCGCCACAAGAAGGAGAAGCCATCTATCACTGCCGTCGAACTAAAACTGGCCTACAGTATTCGCTTCTGCTTGAAGGACAGTTGTCATTTCCAGGGTAAGCTCATACACGCACAGATTCCGAGAAATCATCGCTCTGATTTCGCGATAGCGCGCGTCGACGCGCTGTAACGTGCTGTAACTCGTAACAATTACAGCAGCGCTCCAAGGCTATAGAGGCGAACACAGTCGCAGACAGGAATCGATCGGCATCGGCCGCTTGTCTACTGAGAGAGAGAGAGAGAGAGAGAGAGAGAGAGAGAGAGAGAGGAGAGAGAGAGAGAGCGAGAGAGAAAGAATTTGGGAACAGTAAGGTAGGTTTTTCCTAACCACGCAGTCTCGTATCGATGGCACTTGCCGTTAAGGCTTTGGGAGAGTAAAGAAGAATGCGAGCAAGCGGCTGGTGTCGATCGATTCGCGTATGTGGCAGTGTTCGTGACCAAAGTACTGCAGCGCTGGTGCTATTGTAGCGCGTCGACGAAAATTACAGGTTGTCATAGAGCGATCTTCCTGAAGATGGACGGCGATCCCTGTCCAAGGTGAAGGTCCGCATACTTACCTACCTTGTCATTCCGTGCGAAATAAATTCTAGGGTCACACTGGCGCGCAATGTGCCTTTGTTTATCACCCCTTACAAATAAGTAATGCGGAGAACACTGCAAGTTTAAGAAACTCAAAGGAGAAAGGAACTCACATTGACGCAACGTCCAACACCGAGCAATCCATTCCGATTGACTATCTCCTTCAGGATGAACTCAGTACGGTTCAGCTGCCCAATTCCACTCAAGACAGCTACAAATCGAGGGAAATTAAATCCCTAGGATAACACCATTCAAACGAAAGTAATCTCTACAAACGACCTACCAAAAACAGCTCCATTTCTCTCAACGTTTATCTTATTCTTTCCATGATAGTCCACGTAAATGGAAACCGCTGGCGAGAAGATAAATTCTCTGCAATATAAAAAAAATTGGCGAAATGCGGATGACGGCACAAACTAGGCACCACTTTGCCGTGGGTCGTGAGCAACGAAACGAGATGTGCTCTGATGAAACGAGCCACTTAAACGCCTCCAGTCTTGTTCGCGGCGAAGGCTGGGGCGTGTCGGGACTGTGCTCAGCGCGGCGCCAACTCGTTCTTCATCACTAATGAAAGCTGACAAATGACTGCAGCTTGTGGAGAACGGGCTGGCCCCGCCCTAAACCCAGCTGCCACGTATTTCTGTTCAAGTAGTTTTATCTAACAAGGGAATGGTTTGAACTTCCCATGGAACTTTGAATGGAGACCTAGGTACATCGATAGAGCCTCGAATGCTGATTACGAATATGCAGATTAAAAGTGCTAGACCTCCCAGACGAGATCTGGGTGGTCAAAGTTTACCAGAAGCCAGTTTTGGCTCGTAAGCGCTGCTGATCGATACCTCGGCAGTGCCACCGTGGCCTCCTGGTAATGGTCTCGCTTTCAAAGAAAAGTAAACTAATTAGTTATACTCTAATAAAGTATAATAAAACTAAATCTTTGAGTAAACGTGGGGGCGGGTCCAAACAAGGCACAGTTAACCTCGTTTCGCACGTGCCCTTAGACGGAGAGCGCAGGCGAAGGATTCAAATTCAAGTCAAGCGACGCAGGAGTTTGCATCGGTTGGCGCGGAAAATTTTTTACTGTCTCGCGTCTCAACTCTAATTTTCGAAAGTCCTCCGAATCTTCACGGCCCAGCAAGGGCAAGTAGATCAAGTACATCAAGTATACGACGTACTCGATCTAGTATGGATTTGGTCATATCTGCCCTCTCTGAACATATTACCCATCCGACAATTCAAAGTTTTGCCCAGAATCGCAATTTGGCCAGACGAGCGTTTTTTCGTCGAAGGATGATATTCGTGTTCGGGGGGGGAAGGGGGGGGGGTCGAAATCTCCCATGAACTAGTTTCTCGCTAGAACTTTGAATTGTCGGATGGGTAACCTGTTCAGAGAGGGCAGATATGACCAAATCCATACTAGGTCGAGGGAGGGGTTACCGTCATAATACTTGATGTAACTTTCTACTTTTGCCCTGCAGCGGCCGTAAATCTCGGGAAAAATTTAAATTCGGAGTGAAGCTCTTATAGGGAGCAAACCAAAAACTTCCGCGCCAACGGATGCAAACCAGCATGCGTTTCACTTGAAAGCGAGACTATTACCACGAGGCCACGGTGGCACTTCCCGAGCAGCATCGATCAGCAGCGCTTACGAGCCAAAACTGGCTTTTCGCAAACTTTGACCACCCAGATCTCGTCTGGGAGGTCCCCGTAGCACTTTTAATCTGCATATTCGTAATCAGCATTCGAGGCTCTATCGATGTACCTAGGTCTCCATTCAAAGTTCCATGGGAAGTTCAAACCATTCCCTTGTAAGGACGAGTACCGCTGTCTTCTTGCCCACGAGTGATCATGCGAAGCGAAGTCAGTCGTAGTACAACAACAAAAATGAAGGGGTTGGAAAAATGGAGAAAATCCATACAAATGCCAAGATAATACAAACGGATATTACTTGAAAAAGGTGTTGCCGCGGGTAGATTCCATCGCATCACAGCTATAACGGCATTCGGCCGACGAAGATGCCATTTGTGTGGATGTATCATCATCTTCTGTTGACTGAATTTGCAATTCATGAAACAGTACAATCATGGAAAACAATGAAGAAGAACTCCCGCAAGTCAACGTTCAGACTTCGCGATGACGCGCGTCGACACGCTACAGCTGTAACTACGCTACAATCTTATAGACGCGGATGCAGCCGCAGACGGGAATCTATCGAACAGAGTAAAGAATAATAGGAGGGCAGACGTTGCTTTCGCACAATCAGGAACTCTCATACTCGCCAGTCAAAGCCGATCGATACCAGACTGCGCGCTTAAGCAACGCGCACCCTCTTAATCTCCCATACTCTCTCAATGCACAAGCGGCCAACTCCCAACGATTCCCGCCTGCGGCTGCGTTCGCGTCTATAGCACTGGGTCCCTCTTGCAGTGGCAGCGCGTCGACGCGCATCATCGCGAGGTCTGAACACTGCGCAATGTGGAGCCAATAAGGGCGCCTTGGGAGGCCACACTCCAGCCACTCGGCTTACAAGGCTTCAATAAGAATTTACAAAATAGATGCCACAGAACATTCGTAAATCTCACCCCGTCACCACCGTTTAGACAGGCATCGATTTCGCCGCTGGTATCGATAAGATCATCACTGACAAGGAAATCATCACGAGCTTTGTCATCTCCCGTTGGCATCATATCCGGATGGAACGAATCATGCATTGAAGCTCCCATTAGCATTTTATCCACTTCGCTTACCGGACCAATATGATCCATATCCGGGAATCTAGAGATTAAACAGGTTACATGACGGTAAATGCAGGAAGTGAAAATTCCAAAAATTATTATAATCACCTGATTTCGCTACTGCTGCTCCAGTCTCCAGCAAGATCGTCTGTCAGCACCTTATCATCTGTTGAAGGAGCCTGCAGAAGATCCGGACTACTTGATTCGTTGAAATCCGGACTAGCAGCCTACAATCACACGTTCAACTGAGGAAAAGAGAAACAGAAGGAAAAAGAGCGATTTTATTGTCTCACTTGTGATGAAGGTTCCCCAAGAGGTGTTAGACGCTGTGATGCTCGACTTTTAGTACCAAACAGATTACCTGAAGAAACATGGCCATTCCTTCGAGCGACTAGCCACTTTTGAACGCAGAGGGCATGATTACTGAAATGGGTGGTTGTGGCCACTGTCTCTGGTGAAAGAGTTGTAAAAGGGCGTTTGGCGATACCCCAACGGGTCCCTCCTCCAATGACGTTGGCGACAACCGCCTGCCTCAGCAATCGTGCCCAGTGCCTTCAAATGGTGAGAACAACAAGTATACCCAACCTATAGAAACAGCTGATGCTGTCAATGGGGCATCAACCGTAGACCTTTTGATTGGTGAAGTAGACTTAGTTCGGTTTTCCAAGTACGACAGATCATCTGAATCAGAAAAAAAAGATCAGCGCTAAGAAGTGCCCCTTTAGGTACGATATACAGATTTTTTTTCTTCTGGAAATTGTAATAAGTTGTCTCGGCATAATTTACCCTTTACTGCTCTCTAGCCACAATCAGTTTTGCCTAGCGGTGGATTTGGTGTAACTTTGTCCTTGAAGGTGTTCTGGTCCCTCAATACCGATAATCATCTGCTTGGCTCGAGGCCGCCTGACGTCCGCTCCTAAACAACAGCCAGCGAGAGAGCTTGTGTCCAGGAGATCAAATTACCCCCGAGGGACGAAATTCCAGTCAACTCGTGAAGGCTTGCCCTGAGGTCGAAAATGGTTAGTTGTGCGGCATAAACCAGCGACAAGATGGGAAGTAACCCAAAAAATGAGGGGAAAGGCAGCAAAATCCGCCCGAAATGCCCCATATAGAAGCCCATGCTGTATCGTGGTTGTACGTGCATGAGGCGTAGGGAGGGCGTGGCCAGACGAGTTCTCTGTTGTGCCAACTATTTCTCCATATGACCGCATTCCCTTCGATATGGAGACTCTGGTAGCGGAACAACTTTCACATCACGTAGCAGTTAAAAACGAAAGTTGGGTGTTGCCGTGGTCAGTGGGCGGAGCCGTGGAATAGCGGGTCGCGCTTTCCTGAGGGTATTTGAGCTGCGAAAGCAGTAAATCCTCCATGCATGCGGACAGGGCTACTTATCCCAAAGACCGCGTCTGCGCGTCCATTAAACGCGGGCGTGCTTCAGGCCGGGAAAATTTTTTGATCAAAACTTACCCAGAATTCGAAAGAGTAGGGAAGAAAGGGTGAATAAAGCAGTTTTGTTCTCCAGGGAATCAGAGGAAGATTTTGCTCATATATAACGAAATAAAAATGCATACGGTATGCTTACATATCGGTGACGGTGGAGCAGCTTCTGGCATGAGCACATCCATATTCAAAGGAGTATCTTGACTAAGCGCCGGATAGATAGGGCTATTTTTCACAGAACCCGTATCACTGCTAGATCGTATCGTTGCTGGCACTTCCAAAACAGGTCGAGGAGCAACAGCAGCAGATACTTAACAATGAATACTGACGCTAATTTTGAAGTGACACCAAATCGAGCTGAGCCTACCTCCAGTGGGGATTTCAACACGTGTTCGTACTTCTTGAAAGAAATCGTCCAAAAATTCCATTGTATCCTGATCGATGTTGAACTTCACCGGCAGCATTGAGACCTGAAAGCGATTTTTATACGGGTGTCTTCCTCCAGCCCAGAGGATCACAGGCGACCACAACACTGCTGTCTAATGGGGCTATACATGTCGCCAGCAAGCTGTTTTTCTTCAATTCGCCTCATTCACCTTACGCTGCAAGTTCAGGGAAACAGGCGAATACAGTGCCCTACAGGGCACAGCATTCGATGGGGATTTTGGTCGAGCTTTTACGACCCCCCCCCTTTTTTTCAGGGGCTGGTACGACCCCCCCCCC